GAAACTGACCAGAGTCTGACCAGAGTCTGACCAGAGTCTGACGAGAAACTGACCAGAGTTTGATTAAAGTTTGACCAGAAACTGAACAGAGTGAGACCAGAGTTTGCAGCTGTTCACACATGAGAGAGAAAAACAAGAAGGAATGAAAAGAATCTGACGAGAGAGAGAGAGAGAGAGAGAGAGAGAGATAGAGAGAGAGAGAGAGAGAGAGAGAGAGAGAGAGAGAGAGAGAGAGAGAGAGAGAGAGAGAGAGAGAGAGAGAGAGAGAGAGAGAGGTAGAGAGAGAGAGAGAGAGAGAGAGAGAGAGAGAGAGAGAGAGTAGAGAGAGAGAGAGAGAGAGAGAGAGAGAGAGAGAGAGAGAGAGAGAGAGAGAGAGAGAGAGAGAGAGAGAGAGAGAGAGGAAGAGAGAGAGAGATAGAGAGAGAGAGAGAGAGAGACGAGAGAGAGAGATGAGAGAGAGAGAGAGAGAGTAGAGAGAGAGAGAGAGTTTCCCAAATTTCACACAGACCTGCAAATCATGTAAATAAATGTTTGTATTTCATCATATCTTGTGTTATTCCATCTTTGAACTGTTGATGAAGGGACAGGATTTTTTTTTTTAAGTATTTAAAATGATAAAAATGTTCTTGGAAGGACTGACATATTTTATAGAAATAGTTTCTTTCATTTTGAAGTAATATTAAAGTTTTCAGAAGAAAAAAGTGACAAATGATGTAAAATCCTGCACCTTCTACTTGTTTGTACAATTTTCCCTCCGTTACCATGAACTTTCTTAATAAAAAATCTCATGAGTCAAAAAGTCAGAGGTTTTTCAACCTAATCTTGTACCATATGGTAGAAAACTATATGAAGCAAATATTCAAACCAGTTTGTTAAGGATATGGAAGTGAGAACCAAGAGTTATCACTGTTTGGATTTATTGACCAAAAAGTGCTGCATATTTCATTCCCTCCGTTACCGACATGAGTTTTTTTTTTTTTTTGTCTTGAACTTGAAAGAATCTCACAGGTTTAACTTGACCCTGTTGGAGTGTAACTCTTTCCTACATTCTGATACTTTACTTATTTCAATAGTTCCTCTAGTTTCTGAATAAGACACATTTGAATGTCAAAAATCTGACCCTGTTTCCTCCGTTAACACTTGAACAGACCCATGTGTCACGATCAAACAGCAGCGATTGGTTAAATAAAAAAAGTCTCCGCCTACTGTCGAGTGAACGAATCCTAAAGCTGCGAGATCACACGGTTTGTACAAAGTGAAACCGGCTCATGAATCAGAGCATCAGTTTGGTTCATTCTGATGCTGTGGACACTGGACATTTACTACAGGAATAAACAATTACATGAAATTTTAGATTTGACTTGAGTGAAATTAAACTAAACATTTTGGGACTTGATTTTACAAAGAGGAAGTGAGTTGTGTTTTGTTTCTGTATTTTAAAAATGTTTTTATGTAAACTTTGTTTCTTGTTGTAGAATGGGCTGAACTCATGTTTTTTGACCTTTCATTGAGTGGGTAAACCTGGGCTGGCACCATTTGTGTGCTTGTGGTCCAAGACAAGAAAAATTTGATGAAGGCTTTTTTTGCCGAAACGTTATTTTGTTTAAAATAGTATTTGGACCATCGGCCAACGAGTTTGCTATGCATTTTTTCATCTGATCTGTGTTTTGTTTCAGTCACATGTTTGAGTAAAATCTTTATTATTCGTCCGTCTCCATCTCCAGACAAAACGCCCTGTTCCACCCGGTGACGTCACGAGGTGGTGTTTCGCGCGTGAGTGACAGCGGGACTCACGAGAGCAGAGGCCTGCGAGAGACGAGCAGAGCGTCGTAGAGCAAACACACGCCGAACACCGTCACCCCCGTCTCCTTCACCAACATCGCACACGTCCCCAGAGCCAGGGAGACGACCAGACACACGGCGGAGGACGAGGACGGAGACGAAGAGAGAGACACGCTGTCCTCCTCCTAGAGAGGAGCGGGACGGAGAGAGAGACACGCTGTCCTCCACGCTCCTCAGAGAGACACGGAGAGAGAGAGAGAGAGAAGGAGGAGAGAGAGAGGATGAGAGGAGCGGAGGAGAGAGACACAGAACGCTCCTGAACAAACAGAGAGAGAGAGAGATGAGAGGAGAGACGGAGAGAGAGAGCTGTCCTCCTCCTGACGCTCCTGAGAAACAAACAGGAGACAGAGAGAGAGAGAGGAGATGAGAGGTGAAGAGAGAGACACGCTGTCCTCCTCCACGCTCCTGCAACAAACAGAGAGAGAGAGAGAGAGAGGATGAGAGGAGGACGGGACGGAGAGAGAGACACGCTGTCCTCCTCCACGCTCCTGAAACAAACAGAGAGAGAGAGAGAGGGGATGAGAGGAGGACGAGGACGGAGAGAGAGAACCACCGCTGTCTCCTCCACGCTCCTGAAACAAACAGAGAGAGAGAGGAGAGGGATGAGAGGAGGACGAGGACGGAGAGAGAGACACGCTGTCCTCTCCACGCTCCTGAAAACAGAGAGAGAGAGAGAGGGATGAGAGAGGGGACGGGAGGAGAGAGAGACACGCTGTCCTCCTCCACGCTTCCTGAACAGACAGAGAGAGAGAGGAGACAGGAGAGAAGACGGAGAAGAGGCTGAGAGAGAGAGACACGTGTCCTCCTCCACGCTCCTGAAAAAACAGAGAGAAGAGAGAGAGAGGGAGAGAGAGTTTCCTCCTCCACGCTCCTGCAACAAACCAGAGAGAGAGAGAGAGAGGATGAGAGCGGACGAGACGGAGACGAGAGAGAGACACGCTGTCCTCCTCCACGCTCCTTGAACAAAACAGAGAGAGAGAGAGAGATGAGAGGAGGAACGAGACGGAGAGAGAGACACGCTGTCCTCCTCCCGCTCCTGAACAAACAGAGAGAGAAGAGAGGAATGAGAGGAGGACGAGGACGGAGAGAGAGACACGCTGTCCTCCTCCACGCTCCTGAAACAAACAGAGAGAGAGAGAGAGAGAGGGATGAGAGGAGGACGGAGACGAGAGAGAACACGCTGTCCTCCCCACGCTCCTGAACAGAGAGAGAGAGAGAGAGAGAGGGATGAGAGGAGGACAGGGACGGAGAGAGAGAGACACGCTGTCCTCCTCCACGCTCCTGAAACAGACAGAGAGAGAGAGAGAGAGGGATGAGAGGAGGACGAGGACGGAGAGAGAGACACGCTGTCCTCCTCCACGCTCCTGAAAACAGAGAGAGAGAGAGAGAGAGGGATGAGAGGAGGACGAGGACGGAGAGAGAGACACGCTGTCCTCCTCCACGCTCCTGCGACGGACAGAGAGAGAGAGAGAGGAGAGAGGGATGAGAGGAGGACGGAGACGGAGAGAGAGACACGCTGTCCTCCTCCACGCTCCTGAAACAAACAGAGAGAGAGAGAGAGAGAGAGGATGAGAGGAGGACGGAGACGGAGAGAGAGACACGCTGTCCTCCTCCACACTCCTGAAACAAACAGAGAGAGAGAGAGAGGGATGAGAGGAGGACAGGGACAGAGAGAGAGATAGAAAGACACTGTCCACGCTCCTGCAAAAAGAAAGAAAGAGAGGGATGAGAGGAGAGAGAGAGTGTGAGAAAGAGAGAGACACTGTTCCTCCTCCACGCTCCTGTAACAGACAGAGAGAGAGAGAGAGAGAAAGAGGGATGAGAGGAGGAGAGAGAGAGACTGCCACTTCCACGCTCCTGCAACAGACAGAGAGAGAGGGATGAGAGGAGGACAGGGACAGAGATGGAGAGAGACACTGTCCACGCTCCTGCAAAAAAAAGAAAGAGAGAGAGAGAGAGAGATTAGAGGAGGAGAGAGAGAAACGCTGTCATATCAGAGGAGGAGGGAGAGAGAGGGATGAGAGAAGTGAGAGGAGAAGAGAGAGACTCTGTCCTCCACGCTCCTGTAACAGAGAGAGAGAAAGACAGAGAAAGAGGAGGAGGAGGAGGAAAGAGGAGAGAGAGGGAAGAGGAGGATGAGGAGGAGCTGACCTGGTGTAGCAGAGGAAGGAGAGGAGGAAGAGCAGCGCGGCCAAAACGTCAGCGCGACCAACAACCCCAGAAACCTGAAAACAAACAAAACAACAAAACAAGAATCACACCAGGAAACACAAACACACAAATAAAAACACAATCTGAACTTCACAAAACAACTAAACTTCACAGTGTGTGTATAGTGTTGTGTGTGTGTGTGTGTGTGTGTGTGTGTGTGTGTGTCTCAGAGGCGCAACTTTAAACGCAGTGAAAGTGAAAGTGTTTGCACAGGGACGTGTTGTTTAGTTTGAGTTTTGCTCGTAAAAAACAGAAGGACAAAGGTTCAACCTGAGACGGAGAGTTTGTTCAACTTGTTCTGTTGTTTCTGTTCTAGTTTATCTGAAGAACTGTTCATATGTGACGTTAACAGTCTGTTGTTCTTCTCTTCTGTTGTTTTTACTACAATTTGACTTTACACAGGAAATGTCGGCTCCTGATCTCTCATTTTATAAAATACATTTCACCTAAAAAGTGCCACTTATATATGTCTTTTTTTTCCTTCATTACTCATTTTTTTGGCTGGTGTGACTTGTATTCCAGAGCGACGTATAATCCCAAAAAACACAGTAAATAAAAGAGCAGGAGCCTTAGACGAGGAATACACGTCTATAAAACATAAACTACTCATGTTTAAGAACGAATTGATTGCAAAACTACGACATCCAAAAAAAAAAAAAAAAAAAAAAAGCATATTACGATTATGTTTTCACATTTAAACGAACAAAGAACAAGTAGAGCTACATAACACAATGTAGAGCAGTTTAATAATTCAATATCAGCATAAAAATAACAACATGAGCTGGACTTCATAAAACGATTAGCATCATGCTAACGTTAATGGAAATTTCCATAGAGATGCTAACGCTATTAGCATTTTATATTTTCGCGGGAATTTTAAACTATAAAATACGTTAAAGTGCAACACAGAGTGAGTGAACATGTTATGACTTTACAAGACTTACACACAGATATTTTCATGGGGTCAAAAGACAAAACTTTACACGAATTAAACATTTAACAAAAACTTTTGAAAATTCTAGAACAACATGGCGGCTAAGGAAGCTCAGAGAGGACAAAACAGATCAACTCAAAACAGAAATGTTGTTTATCCACTGGGGCAGAACAGAACAGTAAACAGATTTACTTTTAAAATGTAATCCCCTACAGATTACAGATTACATTCACCAAAATGTAGTTTGTAATATAATCCATTAAATTACTTAAAGTGAGTAATGTAATCTGAATACTTTGGATTACATGATATTGTGATGCTTTTTAAAACTACATGAATGTACCGACCACATCCTGAAAATTCATGTTTGTTCTTCAAATTGTCTGTTGAGCCCAAGTCTCCATGAACAGACTTTTGTTTTAATGTAGAGAAACAAAGACGAGGAAATCCTTAACATAAGAAGTTTTATGTGCTAAAAGAAAATAAAAAGTCCAGTCTTTCCTTAAGAAGATTAAAAATATTATTGATAAAGAAATGATTTTTATATGAGACACTGCTGCCTTCAATTACGTCCACCCTATTGTTAGTGTCATTTTTTTAGTCCTGGTTTAGTCCTGGTTTAGTCCTGGTTTTAGTCCTGGTTTTAGTCCTGGTTTAGTCCTGGTTTAGTCCTGGTTTAGTCCTGGTCAAAAAATGTGAAAACGGCAAAATCCCACAATGTAATCCATTTATTTCAACAAAGTAACTGTAATCCAATTACCACTCACTGAAACAGTAACTGTAACTGAATACAGTTACTCATCATTTGTACTCTGATTACTCTGGTACATGTAATCTGTTACTCCCCAACACTGACAGTAACAGACGTTTAATGAATCCAATTTGATTTATTCAGAGCAATAAATACGTGTAATTCCATCATCTCTTGGCGAGTGAAGAGGGCGGAGCTACAGGTTTAAAACACAAACACTTTTTTAAGTCAAACTGCAGCTTGAGTTTATGTTTTGATCATTTCTGAATTGTTGCTGTTTTAAAACAAAAACTGAACGGTGCTACAGGGAGCTGTGTGTGGATTACGACCAGTGTGGGGGAGTAACAGATTACATGTACCAGAGTAATCAGAGTACAAATGATGAGTAACTGTATTCAGTTACAGTTACTGTTTCAGTGAGTGGTAATTGGATTACAGTTACTTGGTTGAAATAAATGGATTACACCTGTTTTCACATTTTGGGCTATATCCCTTTTTTTTTCTTTTTTTGGGTAATTCCACTCATTGCTGGACTCTAAACCAGGTCTAAACCAGGATTAAACCAGGACTAAACCAGGACTAGGTCTAAACCAGGTCTAAACCAGGTCTCAAACAGGACCGTGTTTCCTCTTCTTCTATCAATAATATTTTTAATTTGGTTAAGTAAATCTGGACTTTTTATTTTCTTTTATCAGACAAAACATCTTATGTTACAGTTTCCTCGTCTTTGCTTCTCTACAGCAAATCAAGTAATCCAAAGTATTCAGATTACATTACAAACTACATTTTGGGGGATGTAATCTGTAATCTGTAGGGGATTACGTTTTAAAAGTAAACTTCCCAACACTGAATACGACACAGGTAGCAACAATTTAAATAGTTTTTAAATCATTAAAGTTTCTGTCCGTTTTTTGTAATTTGGGGTTTTTGTGTTTTTACAGTTCGATATTGTCCTGTCGTTGTTTGTGCTTTTTTTTCCGGTCACTTCCCTTTTCTCGAGCTTGTCCATTTATATTAAATAAATCACCTAAACTGCATCTCCGGCTCCGGACTTTTATTACCACGGCTGTAATAATATGAAGAGGTTTTGTTGTTGTTTTCATTTTTAATCCCACAGATCTGACGCTGGTGACTGTCAGCCAGACCACGCCCCCCTCCTGCCCCCCCTCGTCCCCCCGCGGGCACGCCCCCCTCCTGCCCCCCCTCGTCCCCCCCCCCCCCTCGCCCCCCTCCCCCCCGGGCACGCCCCCCCTCCTGCCCCCCTCGTCCCCCCGCGGGCACAGATGGCACACAGGCTCCTCTCAGACTCGCCTGGGCCCTGGTCTGCGCCCGTATGTGCGACAGAGACGAGAGCCAAGAACGACAGAACAGAAAGAAAAGAGAGAGAGACGAGAAGGAGAGAGAGAGAGAGGGAGGGAGGGAGAAGGAGCCAATTCAGAAAGAAACAGGAGATCAGAGAGAAAGACACACAGAGAAGGAGAGACATGAAAGGAGGGAGGAGAGAGAGAGACACAGAGAGGGAGGAAGAGAGAGAAGGAAGGAGGAGAGAGTGAGAGGGAAGAGAGAAAGAGAGAGAGAAGGGGGAGAGGAGAAGAGGAGATGAGAGAGAGAGAAGGACAGAAAGAGAGAGACAGAGACGCAGAGAAGGAGGAGAGAAAAAGGGAGAGAGAAGAAAGAAGAAGAGAAGATTGATGAGAGAGACAGAGAGGGAAGAGAGAGAGAGAGGAGAGAGACAGACACAGAGAAGGAGGAGAGAAAAAGAGAGAGAGGAGGAGGGAGGAGAGGAAACAGCTGCTCTGCTCTGGTGTCGAGTTTCATGAGTCTGGATCAAATAACATCAGGAGAAGATCCGACACTAAAGTCACACAAACGACACACAAACATCACACAAACGACACACAAACATCACACAAACGACACACAAACGACACACAAACGTCACACAAACGTCACACAAACGACACACAAACGACACAAACGACACAACACACAAACGTCACAAAACGAACACAAACGACACACAAACATCACACAAACGTCACACAAACGACACACAAACATCACACAAACGACACACGAACGACACACAAACGTCACACAAACGTCACACAAACATCACACAAACGACACACAAACGACACACAAACGTCACACAAACGACACACAAACGTCACACAAACGTCACACAAACGACACACAAACATCACACAAACGACACACAAACATCACACAAACGACACACAAACATCACACAAACGACACACAAACGACACACAAACGACACACGAATCACACAAACGTCACACAAACGACACACAAACGACACACGAACGACACACAAACATCACACAAACGTCACACACAAACGACACACACAAACAACACAAACGTCACACAAACGACACACAAACACATCACACAAACGACACACGAACGTCACACGAACATCACACAAACGTCACACAAACGACACACAAACATCACACGAACGACACACGAACGACACACAAACATCACACAAACGTCACACAAACGACACACAAAACATCACACAAAACGACACAGACACACACACGACACACAAACGACACACAAACAATCACACAAACAACACACAAACATCACACGAACGACACACAAACGACACACGAACGTCACACAACACAACAAACGACACACGAACGACACACAACATCACACAAAACGACACACAAACACGACACACAAACATCACACAAACGACACACGAACGTCACACACGAACATCACACACAACACGACACACAAACATCACACAAACGACACACAAACATCACACAAACGACACACAAACGACACACAAACGACACACAAAACATCACACAAACGACACACAAACGTCACACAGAACGTCACACACGAACGACACACGAACGACACACAAACGACACACAAACGACACACGAACGTCACACAAACGACACACAAACACACAAACGACACACAACATCACACAAACGTCACACACACAACACACACACAACGACACACAAACGACACACAAACATCACACAAACGACACACGAACGTCACACGAACATCACACAAACGACACACAAACATCACACAAACGTCACACAAACGACACACAAACGACACACAAACGTCACACAAACGACACACAAACATCACACAAACGACACACAAACGACACACAAACGACACACAAACATCACACAAACGACACACAAACGTCACACAAACGACACACAAACGACACACGAAACGACACACAAACATCACACAAACGTCACACAAACGACACACAAACGATCACACAAACATCACACAAACGACACACGAACGTCACACGAACATCACACAAACGACACACAAACATCACACAAACGTCACACAAACGACACACAAACGACACACGAACGACACACAAACATCACACAAACGACACACAAACGACACACAAACGACACACAAACATCACACAAACGACACAAGAACGAACGTCACACGAACATCCACAAACGACACACACAAACATCACAAAAACGTCACACAAAACGACACACAAACATCACACAAACGACACACAAACATCACACGAACGTCACACGAACGACACACACGAACGACACACAAACATCACAAAAACGTCACACAAACGTCACACAAACGACACACAAACGACACACAAACGACACACGAACGACACACAAACATCACAAACGTCACACAAACGACACACAAACGACACACAAACATCACACAAACGACACACAAACGTCACAACGAACACAACAAACGACACACAAACATCACACAAACGACACAAACGAACACAAACGACACACAAAACGACACACAAACAAACGACACACACAACGTCACACGAACGTCACACGAACGACACAACACACAAACGACACACAAACGTCACACAAACGTCACACAAACGACACACAAACATCACACAAACGACACACACAAAACACACACACAAACGACACACACACACAACGACACACAAACGACACACACGAACACACACACGACACACGAACGACACACACGAACGACACACGAACACACACGAACGACACACAAACATCACACAAACGACACACAAAACGACACACAAACGAACACACAAACACACACGACCGACGACAACGAACGACACACGAACGACACACGAACGTCACACACGAACGACACACACACGAACACACAAACGACACACAAACGACACACGAACGTCACACAAACGACACACAAACATCACACTAAAGTCACACAAACTGTTTTCAGATCAGAACGGTGTCGGTTCCTGCACCAGTTCCACGGAGAACCAAAGATCTTACGGTAAACGAGCCGCGTTCAAACTTCAGCAAATCGATACGATATTTTCACGATGTGCATCTCACGGTTCGATATTTATTGGGATATTTTGTGGAGTGAAATTCGAACAAAATGTGAATGTGACTTTTTCCTTTTAAAAACGTCCTGACGAGACTTTGTTTTTGTCAAAGTCCAAGATGTTTCTTCATGTATTTGGCAGTGAAACGGAGCAAAGGATCATGGTCTTTGTAGTTCCCTCTGGTTTTGGAGCTACATCGCTGCACTATAACTTAAAAAACTTCGCTATTCGACATTGTGCCGGCTCACGATATTATTGAGACTATTGAAATATTGTGATATCGTATCGTCAAGTTATTTTTACGTTTCTCGTTGGAAAAAACAACTGAGTTTTAGTTGGTTCCCGTCAAGAAACAACTTTTCTGTTCCCGAACACTCTGATGTTTGGCATGAACACGTCAGTTGGAAACACGGCAAAAACTGGAGGGTTAAAATTTCAGGGCAAAATATTTCAGAGTTGTTTTTAACACAAAACATGTCATTTTAAATGTGTTAAATGTGGGTTCAAGTTGGAGTTATTTGGCAGAGTTGATATGGTTGAAGTGAATTCAACTTCCCTCAGTGTTAATTCAACTTTCCTTAGTGTTAATTCAACTTTCTCTAGTGTTAATTCAACTTTCCTTAGTGTTAATTCAACTTTCTCTAGTGTTAATTCAACTTTCCTTTAGTGTTAATTCAACTTTATCTAGTGTTAATTCAACTTTCTCTAGTGTTAATTCAACTTTCTCTAGTGTTAATTCAACTTTCTCTAGTGTTAATTCAACTTTCCTTAGTGTTAATTCAACTTTTCTCTAGTGTTAATTCAACTTTCTCTAGTGTTAATTCAACTTTTCCTTTAGTGTTAATTCAACTTTCCTCAGTGTTAATTCAACTTCTACTAGTGTTAATTTAACTTTACCTCAGTGTTAATTCAACTTCATCTAGTGTTAATTCAACTTCCTCCAGTGTTAATTCAACTTTATCTAATGTTGATTTGACCCCTCCTAGACCAGTTTGAACCAGTTTTATTCATAATTTCATCTTAAATTAACTCAAATAAACTGTAAAAATAAAACCCCTCTGTGTCTTGTTTAGTTAAATCAGGATAACTCTACAAAGTGTTATCCGTTTACTCTCAAAACATTAATATAACTCTGGATTCGAGGTTAAACAGGAACTTTGAGACACTGAGAAAATGTTAAAGTTGATTCTGTGAGAGTCGATTTTAACACTCCGCTTTTTACTCTGAAGGAGGAAGAGGATGAGGAGGATGAAGAGGAGGAGGAGACTCACGGCCTCGGTGTGGACGGGGTGCGCGGCGAACAGCAGCGCCGCCAGCAGAGCCGCGCCGTCGTCGGAGAAAACGCAGCGGCGACACGTGACCAGCAGGAGGCAGGAGACCAGCGCGTGAAGACACACGTTCACCAGGTGGAAGTACAGAGGAGCCATCCCAAAGAGCCAGATGTTCAACCTGAGAGACACGACGGGAGCCACGGGAGCCAGAAGAGCCACGGGAGGAGACAAGGAGGAGACAGAGGAGCCACAGGAGCCACGGGAGGAGACAGAGGAGTCACAGGAGGAGTCAAAGGAGTCAGAGGAGGAGACAGAGGAGCCAGAAGAGCCACAGGAGGAAACACAGGAGGAGACAGAGGAGCCACAGGAGACAAAGGATCCAGCGGAGGAGCCACAGGAGGAGACAGAGGAGCCGCAGGAGGAGCCAGAGGAGCCACAGAAGACAAAGCCACGGGAGGAACCAGAGGAGGAGCCACAGGAGGAAACAACAGGAGAAGACAGAGGAGCCACAGGAGACAGAGGAGCCACAGAAGGCACAGGAGGAGACAGAGGAGGAGCCAGAGGAGCCACAGGAGACAGAGGAGCCAGAGGAGGAGACAGAGAAGGAGAAAGAGGAGCCACATGAGGAAACACAGGAGGAGACAGAGGAGCCACAGGAGACAGAGGAGCCACAGAAGCCACAGGAGGAGCCACAGGAGACAGAGGAGCCACAGGAAGCCACAGGAGGAGACAGAGGAGGAGCCGGAGGAGCCACAGGAGGAGCCAGAGGAGCCACAGGAGGAGCCACAGGAGGAGCCGCAGGAGAAGCCGCAGGAGGAGCCAGAGGAGCCACAGGAGGAGCCAGAGGAGACAGCGGAGCCACAGGAGACAGTGGAGGAGCCAGAGGAGCCAGAAGATTCACAGGAGCAGACAGGAGCAGACAGGAGCAGACAGGAGCAGACAGGAGCAGACAGGAGCAGACATTAATACCCCACAGAAGAATAATTCCACAGTTTTCTGATCTGTTCTGATCATCGTTGTGTTTTTTTTGTTTTTGTTTCATTCACACGTTTAACTCCCAAACCCCGCGACTCTGTTCCACCTCGTGATGTCATGAAGTGCTCCTCTGCGTTTTTTAAACTCCACACACCTTCACTAGACTCACGTGGATCGTTTCAGTCAGTGTGGAATGTCTTCACCGACCTCGACTGAACTGACGAGAAAAAGGAGCCGAGAACGTGAAATCTACCACTTCATGACATCACCAGGTGGAACACGTAAACAGACGGAGAATAAAGAGTTTCTCAAACATGTGAGTGAAACAAAACCCAAGTCCAGCTCTGTTTTCGAGGTCAGATCAAGATTAGAAAATGATTTAAAGCCCAAAGGAGTCAGTTTTGAGTCAGTTTTGATTCTAACAAAAGTCCCACCGCTCGTTCTCGTTCTTTCTTTTTCTCTTTCTCTTTTTTTTTTTTTTTTCTCGTTAGGTTGGGGTTGAAGTCGTGACGGGTCGAGCGTTCGTGCGTCTGAAGTTTCCTCTCCAGAGTCTGAAGAATAGTTTGGCTCCGGCTCCTTCCTCTGATCCGATCTGAGCCGGGGAGCCTCCCTCCCGACGCTCGCCTCATGGACTGTGTACAAAACGGACACATCTGACCCTTTAACTGCCACGTTCCAAACACAGACCCAGTTTAAAAACAAACAAACAAAAAAAACGTGTTCTAAGTGAGCGTGACGTCTCCACAGCGTTCAGCTTCACTCAGATTAAACTCCGATTACGGTTTACAGGAGTGAATTTGGAGGCAGATTCTAAATTATGAAGAGGATTTTTTAACAGACAAAATAGCGAAAAAAACCAAACAAAAAAACAAAAAACACGAGAGTCGTTTGGTCTTCCAATAATTTGTTTTTAGGTTCCTTTTTTCAGACCAAGAGTTTGTTTTTTTCCTGACAGTTTGTTCTGCTCCCTGCGCTCTTCTTCAGAGTCTTCTTCAGAGTCTTCCTCAGAGTCTTCCTCAGAGTCTCCCTCAGAGTCTTCAGAGTCTCCCTCAGAGTCTTCCTCAGAGTCTTCCTCAGAGTCTTCTTCAGTCTCCCTCAGAGTCTTCTCAGAGTCTCCTCAGAGTCTTCTTCAGAGTCTTCCTCAGAGTCTCCCTCAGAGTCTCCCTCAGAGTCTTCCTCAGCGTCTCCTTCAGAGTCTCCCTCAGCGTCTTCCTCAGAGTCTCCCTCAGAGTCTTCCTCAGTGTCTTCCTCAGAGTCTTCTTCAGAGTCTTCCTCAGAGTCTCCTTCAGAGTCTCCTTCAGAGTCTCCCTCAGAGTCTTCTTCAGTCTCCCTCAGAGTCTTCTTCAGTCTCCCTCAGAGTCTCCCTCAGAGTCTTCTCCAGAGTCTTCTTCAGAGTCTTCCTCAGAGTCTCCTTCAGAGTCTTCCTCAGAGTCTTCTTCAGAGTCTTCCTCAGAGTCTCCTTCAGAGTCTCCTTCAGAGTCTCCCTCAGAGTCTTCTTCAGTCTCCCTCAGAGTCTCCCTCAGAGTCTTCCTCAGAGTCTTCTTCAGAGTCTTCCTCAGAGTCTCCTTCAGAGGCTTCCTCAGAGTCTTCTTCAGAGTCTCCCTCAGAGTCTCCCTCAGAGTCTCCCTCAGAGTCTTCCTCAGAGTCTTCCTCAGAGTCTTCCCTCAGAGTCTCCCTCAGAGTCTCCTCAGAGTCTCAGAGTCTCCCTCAGAGTCTTCCTCAGAGTCTCTCAGAGTCTCTCAGAGTCTCCCTCAGAGTCTTCCTCAGAGTCTCCCTCAGAGTCTCCCTCAGAGTCTCCTCCCTCAGAGTCTCCCTCAGAGTCTTCCTCAGAGTCTCCCTCAGAGTCTTCCCTCAGAGTCTCAGAGTCTCCTCTCAGAGTCTCCCTCAGAGTCTCCTCAGAGTCTCCTCAGAGTCTTCCTTCTCAGAGTCTCCTCAGAGTCTCCAGAGTCTTCCCAGAGTCTTCCCTCAGAGTCTTCCTCAGAGTCTCCCTCAGAGTCTCCTCAGAGTCTCCCTCAGAGTCTCCCTCAGAGTCTTCCTCAGAGTCTCCCTCAGAGTCTCCCTCAGAGTCTTCAGAGTCTCAGAGTCTCCTCAGAGTCTCCTCAGAGTCTCCTCCTCAGAGTCTTCCTCAGAGTCTTCCTCAGAGTCTCCCTCAGAGTCTCAGAGTCTTCCTCAGAGTCAGAGTCTCCCTCCTCAGAGTCTCCTCAGAGTCTCCTCAGAGTCTCCCTCAGAGTCTCCCTCAGAGTCTCCCTCAGAGTCTCCTCAGAGTCTTCCTCAGAGTCTCCTCAGAGTCTCCTCAGAGTCTTCCTCAGAGTCTTCCTTCAGAGTCTCCCTCAGAGTCTTCAGAGTCTCAGAGTCTTCCTCAGAGTCTCCTCAGAGTCTCCTTCAGAGTCTCCCTCAGAGTCTCCTCAGAGTCTCCTTCAGAGTCTCCCTCAGAGTCTTCCTCAGAGTCTCCTCAGAGTCTTCCTCAGAGTCTCCTCAGAGTCTCCTCAGAGTCAGAGTCTTCCTCAGAGTCTTCAGAGTCTCAGAGTCTTCTCTCAGAGTCTTCCTCAGAGTCAGTCTTCAGAGTTTCCAGGTGTGTGAGAGTAAAAAAGCCCCTCGTCATGTTGCCACCAGGACTGCAGGTGGCAGTGTCGTCCTGACTTCACCGAGAGGAAGACAGAGACAAAACCAACTGAGCGAGACAGAAACATCACGAGACTCCGACGAAGACTCCGACAAAGACTCCGACGAAGACTCCGACGAAGACTCCGACGAAGACTCCGACGAAGACTCCGACGAAGACTCCGACGAAGACTCCGACGAAGACTCCGACGAAGACTCCGACGAAGACTCCGACGAAGACTCCGAGACTCCGACGAAAGACTCCGACGAAGACTCCGACGAAAGACTCCGACGAGACTCCGACGAGGTCCGACGAGGACTCCGACGAAGACTCCGACGAAGACTCCGACGAAGACTCCTACGAAGACTCCTACGAAGACTCCGACGAAGACTCCGACGAGACTCCTACGAGGACTCCGACGAGACTCCGACGAAGACTCCGACGAGGACTCCGACTACGAGGACTCCGAGGACTCCGACGAAGACTCCGACTCCGACGAGACTCCGAAGACTCCGACGAAGACTCCGACGAGGACTCCTACGAGGACTCCTACGACGACGGACTCCGACGAAGACTCCGACGAAGACTCCGACGAAGACTCCGACGAGGACTCCGACGAGGACTCCGACGAGGACTCCGACGAGACTCCGACGAAGACTCCGACGAGGACTCCGACGAGGACTCCGACGAGGACTCCGACGAAGACTCCGACGAAGACTCCGACGAAGACTCCGACGAAGACTCCGACGAAGACTCCGACGAGGACTCCGACGAGGACTCCGATGAAGACTCCGACGAGGACGAGAAGTCGATGAAGAGCAGTCGAAACTGTCAGATATGAAACTCTTGGTCTGAAAAAATAACCTAATAACATAAGTTAGCTATGTCCATTTATATATATATATATATATATATATATATATATATATATATATATATATATATATATATATATAGTCGTTGTGTCCCAAATCAATGAAGAACTCATCGATACTGAAACTAAAAACGAAACTACATCCTCATTTTTTTTGCAGATATCGATACTAAAAATCTTTCCTGAATGAGTTTAGAACGACCTGGACCTGGACCAGAACAAGAATAAAACAGAGACTAAAATACACACATGGACCTGGTTTAGTCCTGGTTTAGACCTGGTTTAGACCTGGTTTAGACCTGGTTTAGACCTGGTTTAGACCTGGTTTAGTGTGGAAAATTACAGGAGATTGTCTAAAAAAAGAGGGTTTTATTTTCACCGTGGGATCAGAATCAGTATCGGGTATCGAGTATCAAGTCTGTTCTTTAGTATCGATAATGAGTCTGAAATTCGTGACTTAACGTTGTCACGAATTTCATAAAAATCAGGGCAAGGCCCAAATTCCAGAGCGATTCTAAAGAGTATTTCTTTCTCCAGGCTGAAGAGACTGAAGAGCCCCAGGACCTGATCCAACAGTCACAGGGTTCAGACCTGGTTCAGACCTGGTTCAGACCTGTTTTAGTCCTGGTTCAGTCCTGGTTCAGACCTGGTTCAGTCCTGGTTTAGACCTGGTTCAGACCTGGTTTAGACGTGTTGTAATCTTGTTTTAGTCCTGGTTAAATCCTGCTTCATTCCTTGTTTAGTTCTGGTTTAGTCCCAGGTCAATCCGGGTTAGTCCGAGTTAGTCCTGGTTCAGTTTCTGGGTTAGTCCCGGGTAAGACCTGGTTTAGTCCCTAGTTCAGTCTGTGGTTTAGATCTGGTTGAGTCCTGGTTTAGTCCTGATTCAGTTCCAGTTTAGTCTTGGTTTAGTCCTGGTTTAGACCTGGTTCAGTCCTGGTTTAGACCTGGTGTAGACCTGGTTCAGTCTCTGGTTTAGTCCTGGGTTAGTCCCAGGTTAGTCCCGGGTTAGTCCCGGTTCAGTCCGGGTCAGTCCCACCTGAAGGACAGGATGCAGAACGGTCTGTAGGACTTGTGGCTCGTGTTGTCGTTCATCCGTTTGCCCCAGAAGTCGTTCCTGAACACGGCCCCGAGTCCGGCCCCGGGCCGCACGTCCGGGTTGTTGACGATGGCCCACACGTCGTCATGGACCAGTTCCCCGCGCACCGAGTTCCCGTAGCAGAGCGCGCACAGCGCCGCCACCGCCGCGTACCGCCCCGCCGCCGCCGCCGCGCGCACGGCCGAGCGCACAGCCTCCTCCCCGGGCACGACGCGCGGCCCGAGCCGCCGGAGGAGCCGCGTGTCCCGGGCCGGAGCCGTCATGTCGTCCCCGGGGAGGGCCGAGGCAGAGCACCGGGGGCAGCGACCGCGTCCATCCCGCTCCAGGTGAACCGAGGACTGGGGGACGGCGGCGGGGAGACGGAGCCGCAGAGCCCGAGGAGGGAGGAGCCGAGGCCGCGTCACCGAGCAGCGCGCACCGCCCCCTCCGGAGCTATTTATAGAACACAGCTGGATGTCCTCACCGCGCCGCTCCAAGACCTGGGTTAGACCTGGTTTAGATCTGGGTTAGACCTGGTTTAGTCCTGGTTTAGATCTGGGTTAGACCTGGTTTAGTCCTGGTTTAGATCTGGGTTAGACCTGGTGAGATTTACCCGAGCACAACATCTGGAAGGGCATCTGACACATCACAACATCTGCAGATTCACTAAACCAGGTCTAAACCAGGACTAAACCAGGTCTAAACTAAACCAGGACTAAACCAGGACTAAACCAGGTCTAAACCAGGACTAAACCAGGACTAAACCAGGTCTAAACCAGGACTAAACCAGGACTAAACCAGGACTAAACCAGGTAAACCAGGTCTAAACCAGGACTCCAGGTCTAAACCAGGACTAAACCAGGTCTACCCAGGTCTAAACCAGGACTAAACCAGGACTAAACCAGGACTAAACCAGGACTAAACCAGGACTAAACCAGGTCTAAACCAGGTCTAAACCAGGTCTAAACCAGGACTAAACCAGGTCTAAACCAGGTCTAAACCAGGTCTACACCAGGTCTAAACCAGGACTGAAACCAGGTCTAAACCAGGTCTAAACCAGGACTAAACCAGGTTAAACCAGGACTAAACCAGGTCTAAACTAAACCAGGTCTAAACCAGGACTAAACCAGGTCTAAAACCAGGTCTAAACCAGGTCTAAACCAGGTCTAAACCCAGGTCTAAACCAGGACTAAACCAGGTCTAAACCAGGTCTAAACCAGGACTAAACCAGGTCTAAACCAGGACTAAACCAGGTCTAAACCAGGTCTAAACCAGGTCTAAACCAGGACTAAACCAGGTCTAAACCAGGACTAAACCAGGTCTAAACCAGGTCTAAACCAGGTCTAAACCAGGTCTAAACCAGGACTAAACCAGGACTAAACCAGGTCTAAACCAGGACAAACCAGGTAAACCAGGACTAAACCAGGTCCCAGGACTAAACCAGGTCTAAACCAGGTCTAAACCAGGTCTAAACCAGGTCTAAAACCAGGACTAAACCAGGACTAAACCAGGACTAAACCAGGTAAACCAGGTCTAAACCAGGACTAAACCAGGACTAAACCAGGTCTAAACCAGGTCTAAACCAGGTCTACACCAGGTCTAAACCAGGACTAAACCAGGTCTAAACCAGGTCTAAACAGGTCTAAACCAGGACTAAAACCAGGTCTAAACCAGGACTAAACCAGGTCTAAACCAGGTCTACCAGGTCTAAACCAGGTCTAAACCACCAGGACTAAACCAGGTCTAACCACCAGGTCTAAACCAGGTCTACACCAGGTCTAAACCAGGACTAAACCAGGTCTAAACCAGGTCTAAAAAACCAGGACTAAACCAGGTCTACACCAGGTCTACTCTAAACCAGGTCTAAACCAGGTCTACACCAGGTCTAAACCAGGACTAAACCAGGTCTAAACCAGGTCTGTGGTTTCTGGAGTTCGTCTCTTTGGGCTGAAGGATTAAAAACATGTTTGGCTCAGACTTTAACATTTCCTTCTTCTTCTTTTTTTTTTTTTTTTCTTAATTTTTCTTGTAGGTTTAAATATTTACTTTATCGTTGGAAAATCATGACGTCACTGTGGGGAATTCCACACCTGTTACCACGGCAACCGCCTGGAACACTGGACCCGGAGCCCGAGTCCATCGTCCCGACAAACAAGAAAACACTTTTATTTTGTTCAAATCAGAACCGTGAATAAAGTCAGATGCCCTCCCGTCCTCCCGTGGTGTGTCAGACTGAGACCGGGGGGTTCTACATGTGTGTCTATGGTAAAATTCTAAACTGGCACACACCCGGGTTCTCACGTCCGTCATGAGCTGAAGACTAAGACTAAAAGAGGACTAAAACTGAACTACAGCAGGACTAAACCAGGACCAAATCTGAGGCCCTTTGTTTTTTTTTTTGGCTTTATGAAATTTTTTTTTATATTTTGGCGAAAAAAATTACAATTATTGCTCCTCTGCACTGTTGGAGATGATCAGACTAGACAAAAACTATGATAGTCCTGGTTTATTCCCTTGTTTAGTCCTGGTTTAGTCCTGGTTCAGTCCTGGTTTAGTCCTGGTTCAGTCCTGGTTTAGACCTGGTTTGGATCTGGTTTAGTCCTGGTTCAGTCCTGTTTTAGACCTGGTTTGGATCCTGGTTTAGTCCCTTTAGTCCTGGTTAGTCCTGTTTAGTCCTGTTTAGTCTGTTTTAGTCTGGTTCAGTCCTGTTTTAGTCCTGTTTAGTCCTGGTTTAGACCTGGTTTAGACCTGGTTTTGGATCTGGTTTAGTCCTGTTTTAGTCCCTGGTTTAGTCCTGTTTTAGTCCCTGTTTTAGTCCTGTTTTAGTCCTGTTTTAGTCCTGGTTTAGTCCTGAAGTTGTTTGCTTTATTTGACTTTTATTATTTTATGTATTCACTTTCATGTGGCTCATTATTATTTAGTTTATTCGTTTGGGGAGTTAATAAGTACAAAGTAAAATAAATTATTCTATAAACATTTCATATTATTTCTGAAATTATGTTACGTAAAAATAATAATAATAATAATGACGATAATAAAATATTGTAGAAAAGAAGAGACTCGAACCAAACTCAGATTTTTCGTTCTTTTGTTCAGCTCCAAACTCATTTACAAAAACACAACAAACACACGACTATTTACACTTTACCTCCTGTACAAGAGTCACACAACGCACAAAACACCGCACAAACGCCGCCGCCGCCGCACAAACGCCGCCGTCGCACAAACGCCGCCGTCGCACAAACGCCGCCGTCGCACACTTCACAACGTTCATCTGGAGCTTCTCCGTTGGCCTCGGGCGTCATTTAAAGTCACCGTCTGGGACTCTGAGTTGAAATAAAAGTTTGAAATCTGGCGACAAAAGTTTTTAAACATTTACAAATAAAGTGAAGATTTATTGATAAAAGAAAAACAGAAACTGATCAATATTTTCTGAACCTTAAAAAGTCCTAAATGACGCAAACCTGACGTGTTCTAATGTTCCTGCTTCACACAGACCTGGACCTGTGTTTTGTGTTTGAGTAAATCTTTATTATTCGTCTGTCTACATCTCCAAACGCTCTGTTCCACCTTGTGATGTCATGAAGTGGTTGTTTTTAAGTGGACAGCTCCTTTTCCCTTTAGACTTCGTTTCCACAGAGCCGGTACGTTGAGAAAAAAATATTTCCCGTTGTCCGTTTTCCAAAATAACATCGTGCTCACAGAGTCGATTTCAACAAAAGTTTTCGTTTACACCGAGACTCTGGGCGGAGCAGCTTTTGTTTCATTACAGTTGTAAGTTTTACTCATCCTGCTTCCTGAGACGGTTTCACTTTGTGGAAACCGTGTGACCTGCAGCATTAGGATTCGTTCGCTCGACAGGAGGCGGGGACTTTTTTTATTGAACCAATCGCTGCTGTTTGGTCGTGACGTTTGTAAAGCTCCAAATCCTGTAGGAAGAAGAACAATAACGTCTTTCCCCGAGATCAAATTCACCAAACATTCTCTTTGTTCCGGTTTTAAATCCTCGGGAATCGTTGACAACACAGAATGTCTGTCTCTTCTCTGATTGGCCGGTGCCCGAACTCGCACTTCTGGAGTTTTGTGAACCGTCTAGTGCAGCGGTGTCCAAACTTTTTCCATCAAGGGCCGGATTAAACCCGGATTAAACCCGGACTAAACCCGGACTAAACCCGGACTAAACCCGGACTAAACCCGGACTAAGCCAGGACTAAGCCAGGACTGAACCAGGACTGAACCAGGACTGAACCAGGACTAAACCAGGACTGAACCAGGACTGAACCAGGACTGAACCAGGACTGAACCAGGACTGAACCAGGTCTAAACCAGGTCTAAACCAGGAACTGAACCAGGACTGAACCAGGACTGAACCAGGTCTGTGGTTTCTGGAGTTCGTCTCTTTGGGCTGAAGGATTAAAAACATGTTTGGATCAGACTTTGGCATTTCCTTCTTTTTTTTTTCTTAATTTTTCTTTTAGGTTTAAATATTTACTTCATCATTGGAAAATCATGACGTCATGCCTGTTACCACGGCAACCGCCCGGCACTTTGTCCCGAGTCCATCGTCCCGGACAAACACTCCCGACAAGAATAGTTTTTGGGAACCGTCCAGTGCAGCGGTGTCCAAACTTTTTACATCAAGGGCCACAAATCTAAACACAGACGAAGCAGAGGGTCGATCGAGCTCAACACAGTGAATTAGGGATGGGCATGATTAATCGATTAATCGATAATTGATCATTAAGAATTTCATCGATTACGTTCATTTTAATGGACAAACTGAATGTATGTTTGTGTGTCGTGACCAAACAGGTGTGTACATGTGTCTCTGCATCAGAAGGAGCGAGACACAAACAGTGGGTCAGTCTGTAACGAACCGAAGCACAAATGTGGATTTAACCAGGATTTGTAGAAGAAATTCCACACTTTCCGTTGCGTTGGGACAAGTGTGAGTCCATGTGCACAGTGGATAAAGCAGCACATATGTTTCTGTGTCCAGTGGGAAAAAGTTTTTCCAGGTGAGAGTCGCTCAATGTGGATGACGAGGCCCCGCCCCCCTCCCCCCGTACGCTGTCCTGGTTTTGACAAACACAAATCTGGTCACACTGACCTGTATTCACCTGAGTCATGTCTTTTAATCCAACACAAGTTGAACCACATCAGCGACACAAGAGCTGGAGTTTTATCTTCACTTAGTTTATGTAAATTAGTGATGTGGTTTTAAGTTTTGTTTCTGTGAGATTTGAACAAAACTGAATTAAACACATTATAATGTCAAACAGCTGATGTGGATCTAGAGTCGTTATGTTTATATGTCGTAAAGTTGAATTTATTTATGCAGATTAGTGCAGATAGTAATAATAATGATGATCATTTTAATATAAAAACGTTAATGATTAATCGATAATCGATCGTTAATTCTTCCGACGATCGATTAAGAAAATTTCATCGAATGCCCGTCCCTACAGTGAATAATTTAAATATTTGCAGGTTTAACACGTTAGAATGAACCGTCAGTCACTAAATATTCAATACTAGGTTTTTTAAGGTAGATTTTCAAAAAACTTGCCGTAAAAAGTTATTTTTTAATTGTTGCAAAGCAATTTGGGCCAATTCGCCTGGAAGAATGAGGGCCAAACTAAATCTGTCAGAGGGCCGCGTTTGGCCCACGGGCCGTAGTTTGGACATGTCTGGTCTGGTGTATCTGATTTCTGATCTAGTCGCTGGAGAGAAATGAAACTGAACGGAGGCACTAGGTGGCACCAGCCTGGATAAGTTTTACTCACAAATCGGTTTAAATGGTGCATTAGTGAGCGGCTCGCCTCTCCACAGATCTGATACAGCCTCATTGGTCTCTGGTCGTCATCATCATCAGAGCAAAAGGGAAACACTCGTTGCACTTTTGGCGTCGGCTCCTAAAACTCCTTTTATCACTTTAGACACAAACACCAAAGCAGAGTTTTCCAGAATCTTCCCTGTAGACGAAGTTTTGACAAAGATTCATTTTCAGAGGAGAATTTTCTGTTTGTGTTTAAAAAACGGGAACAAACGAAGAGAAACGTCTCAGTTTACAGAAGCACCCGTGTACGTGCAAACAGGGCCTAAGTTCAGCAGAGATCGGTAACTCCGGGACCGAAATGATCCAGATGATTCTCGTGACGGCGTGTGGAGTTTAAAAACACAGCGGCACAGCACTTCATGACATCACAGGGTGCGACAGAGCGTTTGTAGTTTCAGAAGAACCTGGTTTGAGTTAAACAAACACAACTCCAGGTCTGTGTGACGAGGAGACGGATTTAAAAACTGTTGAAGAAGCGACACTGAAGCCAAAACCTGCTGTTGATATTTTGCAGCTGAGGTCGTCCACATTCTCTGGGGTGTGACGCTAACGGGAGGCACTGCTCTGTCTGAAACTCTGTTACTGAAGTTAAGGGAGACCAGACGTTCCTGTTTTTAGACCAATTTGATCTAAACCAGGACTAGACCAGGACTAGACCAGGACTAGACCAGGACTAGACCAGGACTAGACCAGGACTAAACCAGGACTAAACCAGGACTAAACCAGGCCTCTTCAGGAACAAGACCACAAGCTTCCACGACAAGGGCAGATTCAAAGTCCACTTTTAAAGTCATGACTTTAAATATGGTAATTACGACTTATTATGACTTTCAAACTCGTAATTACGTCTTTTAAACTTGTTATTATGACTTAAACTCATAATTACGACTTTTAAACCCGTTATTATGAGTTTTAAATTCATTATTATGACATTTAAACTCGTAATTAAAGCTTAAACTCGTAATTACAACTTTTAAACCTGTTACTATGACTTTTAAACTCATTATGACATTTAAACATGTTATTATGATTTAAACTCATAATTATGACTTAAACTCGTAATTACAACTTTTAAACTCATAATTATGACTTTTAAACTCGTAATTACAACTTTTAAACTCATAATTATGACTTTTAAACTCGTAATTACAACTTTTAAACTCATAATTATGACTTTTAAACTCGTAATTACAACTTTTAATCTCATTATTATGACTTTTAAACTCTAACTTCTTGAAGAGAAAATTAACATCTTTGACTTTTAAACTCGTTATTATGACTTTCTGTGAGGCTTTTATTTTTTATTTACTGGTGGAACTGGGCTTCCATACAACCCGGGTGTGTCCCACTTTTAAATTTGAAAATCTGGTCACTCTAACCATAGACACACATGTAGAACACCCCCAGAGCGACGTCACTGCAAAGTATCAAAACAGTAGATCTTTTAACGTCTCTAATTCCCCGAGCAAATCCACACGTAACAAAAACCGTCTCAAAGTTCATTTTCTCCGGTCAGTCGAAGAGTTTTTAGTATTTGCACTTTTCTCTCGTAAAGGTTCAATCCCAGACCAAGGTTCGGAATTCAGTTTTTTTATTTTTTTTTTCCGCTCGTGTGGGAGTGTTTTAGTCGGCGACGTGTTCGGGGTTTGACTCCGGTCCCGGCGGCGATTCCAGTTTTTGTCCCAGAGGTGTCGGTGCGATTCCAGGGCGGTGAAACCCGGAGGTGTCCAGCGTTGCTCAGCGGCACAAAGGCAGTCTCTCAGTCTGAGTTTGACCCACATCACTCAGAGCTGCTCCAGTCCAGACCCGGGTCCCACCTCTGGAACAGAACCAGGTTTAACACATTAGACCAGGACTAGACCGGGACTAAACCAGGACTAAACCAGGACTAAACCAGGACTAAACCAGGACTAAACCAGGACCAGACCAGGACTAAACCAGGACCAGACCAGGACCAGACCAAGACTAAACCAAGACTAGACCAGGACTAGACCAGGACTAGACCAAGACTAGACCAGGACTAGACCAAGACTAGACCAAGACTAGACCAGAGACCAGACCAGGACTAGACCAGGACCAGACCAGACCAGACCAGACTAGACCAGGACTAGACCAGGACTAGACCAGGACTAGACCAGAAGACTAGACCACCAGGACTAGACCAGGACTAAACCAGGACTAGACCAGGACTAGACCAGGACTAAACCAAGACTAGACCAAGACTAGACCAGACTAGACCAGACAGACTAGACCAGGACTAAACCAGGACTAAACCAGGACTAGACCAGACCAAGACTAGACCAGGACTAAACAGGACTAAACCAGGACTAGACAAGACTAGACCAAGACTAGACCAGGACCAGACCAGGACTAAACCAGGACTAGACCAAGACTAGACCAAGACTAGACCAGGACTAGACCAGGACTAGACCAGGACTAGACCAGGACTAGACCAGGACTGTACCATGGTCCTTTGGCGGTCTTCTTCTGCTGTGCGATGCCGTAGATTTCCTGGAGTTGTTTCTTCTGGTCGTCGCTGAGCGGCGCCGTGAGCCTCTGGTACCAAGAACTGTCAGTGTTCTGCACCCCTGAACAAAAGCACAGAAGAAGAAGAAAGTGAGGACAGAGGAAGAGGAGGAGGAGCAGAGGAAGGGGAGGTGGAGGTGCAGAGGATGAGGAGGTGGTGCAGAGGATGAGGAGGTGGTGCAGAGGAAGAGGAGGAGGTGTGGTGAGGAGGTGGTGCAGAGGATGAGAGGTGGTGAAGAGGAAGAGGAGGTGGTGCAGAGGATGAGGTGGTGCAGAGGAGGAGGAGGTGTAGAGGAAGAGGAGGTGGTGCAGAGGAGGATGAGGAGGTGGTGCAGAGGAGGAGGTGGTGAGGTGGGAGGAGGTGGTGCAGAGGATGAGGAGGAGGTGTAGAGGAGGAGGTGGTGCAGAGGATGAGGGGTGGTAGAGAGAGCAGAGGAGAGGTGGTGGAGAGGAGGAGGTGGTGTAGAGGAGAGGTGGTGCAGAGGATGAGGAGTGAGGGAGGAGGTGCAGAGAATGAGGTGGTGCAGAAGAGGAGGAGGTGGTGCAGAGAGGAGGAGGAGGTGGTGCAGAGGATGAGGAGGTGGTGCAGAGGATGAGGAGGTGGTGGAGGTGGAGGTGGTGCAGAGAGAGAGGAGGTGGTGAGGGGGAGGAGGTGGTGTAGAGGAGGGGAGGTGGTGTAGGAGGAGGAGGAGGTGGTGTAGAGGAGGAGGAGGTGGTGTAGAGGAGGAGGAGGTGGTGTAGAGGAGGAGGTGGTGTAGAGGAGGAGGTGGTGCAGAGGAGGAGGTGGTGCAGAGGATGATGAGGAGGTGGTGTAGAGGATGTGAGGTGGTGTAGAGGAGGAGGAGGTGGTGTAGAGGAGGGGTGGTGTAGAGGAGGAGCAGAGGATGAGGTGGTGCAGAGGATGATGAGGAGGTGGTGTAGAGGAGGAGGTGGTGTAGAGGAGGAGGTGGTGTAGAGGATGATGAGGAGGTGGTGTAGAGGAGGAGGTGGTGTAGAGGAGGAGGTGGTGTAGAGGAGGCTCACTCAGCAGGGCGTTGGTGAAGTACGTGTATTCGTCCTCTGCGTTGTCGTAGTCCAGAGGAGTGGAGTATTCCTCCAGCGGGGTGCCCTCGAAACAGTCCTCCTCCCAGAAGTCCTCCTGCAAGACCAAGACCAAGACCGGGACTGAACCAGAACTGAACCAGGACTGAACCAGGACTGAACCAGGACTGAACCAGGACTGAACCAGGACTGAACCAGGAACTGAACCAGGACTGAACCAGGACTGAACCAGAACTGAACCAGGACTGAACCAGAACTGAACCAGAACTGAACCAGGAACTGAACCAGGTCTGAACCAGGTCTGAACCAGGACTGAACCAGGACTGAACCAGGACTGAACCAGGACTGAACCAGGTCTAGACCAGGCTCAGTCCTGGTTGAGTTTAGGGTTGTCCCGATCCAATCACATGATTGGAAATCAGCACCGATCACGTGACTGTGGACTTGATCCAGACTCAGACGTTATGTTCTGATCAGGTATCGGATAAATAATATAAATATAAATATAATAAAACACACAGGACACAACAGTTTTGTTTTTTTAAGTGAGGTGTGGGTTTCCCTCAGGGACGTCCCAGAGCCTGTTGTACTAGAGACACACTCACGTTGGGACTAGGGGTGTGCAAAAATATGGGAATATTGATATATCGTATCGTTTAATGTGATGATACAGTATCAATATCGTGGGCTGCTGTATCGATATTTCACCAAGAGTATTTTTAGGTGTGTTTTACTAAATTATTTTGTTACAGAGCTACAGTTTTGTTTCTTGTGGAGTGAAAGGAAACTCATTTATGCGACACATTTGACATTTTCACTGTTTTGAGGATTAAAATGTTTGTGTTTCATATGAACTTTGCACAAGAAGAAGTGGTTTAACAAAGACTTTTAGTATCACAGACATGATTTAACCTTTATTTTTTATTGAACCGTTTCGAATCCATTTGAAATATATCATATCGAATCGAAAGTGCACTGTATCAAGATATGTATCGTATCGTATCGGCAACTTCTTAATGATACTCAGCTCTAGTTGGGACTTTTGGGTCGTGTTACCTGTGGTTCTGTGTTCACCTGCGCGGCCGATGGCGTCATCACACGGTGGTGTTTGTTTGCGTGTCTATTAAGTGTTGAGACCAATGTGGCGGCGCTCGCTCCGCTGGGGGTTTGTGGATGTGGTGGATGTGGTGGATGTGGTGGATGTGGTGGATGTGGTGTGGTGGATGATGTGGTGGATGTGGTGGTGGATGTGGTGGTGGATGTGGTGGATGTGGTGGATGTGGTGGTGGATGTGGTGGTGGATGTGGATGTGTGTGTGGATGTGGATGGGGGATGTGGTGGATGTGTGGTGTGTGGTGGATGTGGTGGTGTGGTGGATGTGGTGGATGTGGTGGTGGATGTGGTGGATGTGTGGATGTGGTGGTGGATGTGGTGGATGTGGTGGATGTGATGTGGTGGATGTGTGGATGTGTGGATGTGGTGGATGTGGTGGATGGGTGGATGTGGTGGATGTGGTGGATGTGGTGGATGTGGATGTGGGTGGATGTGGTGGTGGATGTGGTGGATGTGGTGGATGTGGTGGATGTGGTGGATGTGGTGGATGTGGTGGATGTGGTGGATGTGGTGGATGTGGTGGATGTGGTGGATGTGGTGGATGTGGTGGATGTGGTGGATGTGGTGGATGTGGTGGATGTGGTGGATGTGGTGGATGTGGGTGGATGTGGTGGATGTGTGATGTGGTGGATGTGGTGGATGTGGTGGATGTGGTGGTGGATGTGGTGGATGTGGTGGTGTGGTGGATGTGGTGGATGTGGTGGATGTGGTGGATGTGGTGGGATGTGGTGGATGTGGTGGATGTGGTGGTGGATGTGGTGGATGTGGTGGATGTGGTGGATGTGTGGTGGATGTGGTGGATGTGGTGGATGTGTGGTGGATGTGGGTGGGTGGGTGGATGTGGTGGATGTGATGTGGTGGATGTGGTGGATGTGGTGGATGTGGTGGATGTGGTGGATGTGGTGGATGTGGTGGATGTTGTGGTGGTGGTGGTGTTGGTCTGGGGGCGGTCGGGGGACAGAGGCTTGGAGCTTCTGTCGTCTTGTTTTTATTTGGTTTTGATTTTTTACACTGATGGTTCATGTTTAGAAAAGTGAATAAATTAAAGTTTTGGACATTTGATTTTTCACACTAAGTTCAGCCCAAATACGACACACTTTGTTATGTTTTATAGAAGTATCGGCTCAGGACTTGGTATCAGCGGATACTCAGAATCAAAGGACTCGGACTCAGATTTGGACTCAGACTCGGGGTCGGGTCAATGTGACAGGACGTCCGTGGTCCGTGGTCCGTGGTCCGTGGTCGGGTTCTCACCTCGTCGTCGGGCTCCTCTGTGCTGTGGGGACAAACCGGCTGCGGCTCTGACACTTCGTCCTCGTCACTCGGGATTTCCTCTGGACCAAAGACAAGAGTCAGACAAGAGTCAGACTAGACCGGGACCAGACCGGGACCAGACCGGGACCAGACCGGGACAAAGACTAAACAAGAACTACACAAAGACTAAAACAGGACTAAACCAAGACCTAAACCAGGACCTAAACCAGGACTAAACCAGGGACTAAACCAGGAACTAAACCAGGACTAAACCAGGACTAAACCAGGACTAAACCAGGACTAAACCAGGAACTAAAATAGGACTAAACCAGGGACTAAACCAGGACTAAACCAGGGACTAAACCAGGACTAAACCAGGGACTAAAGCAGGGACTAAAGTAGGACTAAACCAGGGACTAAACCAGAGACTAGACCAGGAACTAAACCAGAACTAAACCAGGACTAAACCACCAGAGTCTAAACCAGGGACTAAAGCAGGACTAAACCAGGACTAAACCAGGGACTAAAGCAGGGACTAAAGCAGGACTAAACCAGGGACTAAAGCAGGACTAAACCAGGACTAAACCAGGGACTAAACCAGGACTAAAGCAGGACTAAACCAGGACTAAAGCAGGAACTAAACCAGGGACTAAACCAGGACTAAACCAGGACTAAACCAGGGACTAAAGCAGGACTAAACCAGGAACTAAACCAGGAACTAAAGCAGGACTAAACCAGGGACTAAACCAGGACTAAACAGCAGGACTAAAACCAGGACTAAACCAGAACTAAACCAGAACAACTAAACCAGGGACTAAACCAGGGACTAAACCAGGGACTAAACCAGGACTAAAAAAAGGGACTAAACTAGGACTAAACCAGGACTAAACCAGGGACTAAACCAGGGCTAAACCAGGGACTAAACCAGGACCAAACCAAAGATTAAACCAGGGACTAAACCAGGACTAAACCAGAACTAAACCAGGACTAAACCAGGACTAAACCAGGGACTAAACCAGGGACTAAACCAGAACTAAACCAGGGACTAAACCAGGACCAAACCAAGATTAAACCAGGGACTAAACCAGGACTAAACCAGGACTAAACCAGGACTAAACCAGGGACTAAACCAGGACTAAACCAGGGACTAAACCAGGACTAAACCAGGGACTAAACCAGGGACTAGGGTTTAGTCCCCCCCCCTCACCGTTGGCGTCCTGCTCGCCCCCCGGGGCGGGGGCTCTCGGATGCTCCGGGGGCTTGTGGAGGAGGCGGGAGGCGTACAGATGTTTCAGGCCCAGGAACAGCAGCAGGACGGAGGGTAAAATCTGAGCGACCACAGCCTCCAGCGCCGACGGACGCGACGGCAGCTCCATCAGCACACACAGACCCAGGATACACAGCTTACGGTCGTGAAGTCTGAAAGAACCACGACCAGAACCAGGACTGAGACCAGGACCAAGACCAGGACCAAGACTGAGACAAGACCAGAGCCAGAACTAAACCAGGACTAAACCAGGACTAAACCGAGACAGCTCCATCAGCACGCACAGACCCAGGACACACAGCTTACGGTCGTGAAGTCTGAAAGAACCAGGACCAGAACTGAGACAAGAACCAGAACCAGGTCTGAGCCGGGACTGAACTGGGACTGAACCAGGACCAGACCAAGACTTGACCAAGACTAGTCCAAAGATTAGTTCAAGACTAAAACATGGACTAAAACATGGACTTAAACCAAGATTAAAGCAGGTTTAGTCCTGGTTTACTCACAGACTAAACTAAACAGACCAAGACTGAACCAGGACTGAGCCAGGACTGAACTGGGACTGGACCAAGACTTTACCAAGACTAGACCGAGGCTAAAACAAGGATTGAACCCGGACTGATCCAAGACTGAAATGGGACTGAGCCAGGACCGAACCTGGACCAAATTGGGACCAGACCAGGACTAGACCAGAACTAAAACATGGAATAAAAAAATGGAATAAAACCGTGACTAAACCAGGACTGAACCAGGACTAAATCAGGGACATAACTGGGACTGGACCAAGACTTCACCAAGAATTGACGAAGACTAAAACATGGATTGAACCGGGACTGAGCCAGGACTAAACTAGGACTAAACTGGGACTGAACCAGATACTGAACCAGGACTAGACCAAGACTTTACCAAGACTAGACCAAGGCTAAAACAAGGATTGAACCGGGACTGATCCAAGACTGAAACGGGACTGAGCCAGGACCAAACCTGGACCAAGCTGGGACCAGACCAGGACTAGACCAGGACTAAAACATGGACTTAAACCAGGACTGAACTAGGACTGAACTAGGACTAGACCAAGACTTTACCAAGAATAGACCAAGACTAAAACATAGATTGAACTGGGACTGAACTAGGGCTAAAACAGGGACTGAACTGGGACTGGACCAGATACTGAACCAGGACCAAAACCAAGACTAAAACATGGATTGAACCGGGACTGAGCCAAGACTAAAACATGGACTAAAACATGGAATAAAACTGTGACTAAACCAGGACTGAACCTGAACCAAGCTGGGACCAAACCAGAACTAGACCAGTACTACACCAGGACTAATCTAGGACTAAAACATGGACTGAACCAGGACTTAAACCACAGCTGAACCAGGACTAAACCAGGGACTGAATTGGGACTGGACCAAGACTAAAACATAGAATAAAACCATGACTAAACCAGGTCTAGATCAGGTCTGGAGTCGGACTGACCCGAGGAAGTACTCGGTGTCGTTGATCCACTGGTTGATGAAGTGGGCGGTGAGGGGCTGGGGGCCGGAGTCCAGCGTGAGGAAGAGGAGGGGGGGGCTGTACCAGAGCGCCGCGATGGCCACCTGCAGACACATGGTCCTCAACTCCGACGTCTTCACCCCGCGCATCAGACGCTCCAGCGCCGTGTGCACCAGCACCGGGACCACCTGAGGACAGACCGGGACGGGGAGGGCATCCGGGTTAAAACAACAACAAGAACAACAACACCGGGACCACCTGAGGACAGACCGGGACGGGGAGGGCATCCGGGTTAAAACAACAACAAGAAACAACAACACCGGGACCACCTGAAACAGACCGGGACGGGGAGGGCATCCGGGTTAAAACAGAGAGAGAGAAAAGACGTGAGGAGAAGAGGAGGACTGGAGGAGGACGAGATGGAGAAAAAGAGGAGAGAAGAGGAAGAGGAGGAGGAAAGAGAAGAGGGTGAGAAGAGGAGGACGAGGAGCAGGGGATGAGGGGAAGAAGAGGAGAAGGAGAAGGAGAAAAAGAGAAGAGGACGAAGAGAGAAGAGGAGGAGGAAGAGGACAAGAGGAGGAGTAGAAGGGGATGAGGGGAAGAAGAGGAGAAGGAGAAAAAGAGGAGAGATCGGGAAGAGGAGGAGGAAAGAGAAGAGGAAAAGAAAAGGAGGAGGAGGAGCAGGGAAGAGAAGAGGAGGAAGAGAGAAAAGGGGGAGGAAAAGGGATGAGAGGAGGAAAGGGGAGAAGGAGGAAAAGGAGGAGAGAAGAAGAGGAGAAGGGGATGAGGAGTGAAGAGGAAAAGAGGATGAGGAAAGAAGAGGAGAAGGAGAAGAGGAGGAGGGGAGAAGGAGGAGAGAGAGAAGAGGAGGAGGAGAAGAGGAGAAGGAGCAAAAGAGGAGAGAAGAGGAGGAGGAGAGAAAAGGAGGAGGAAAAGGAATGAGAGGAGGAGAAAAGAGGAGAAGGGGATAAAGAAGAAAAGAGGAGAAGGGGATGAAAAAGAGAAGAGGAGAAAAGGAGGAGAAGGGGATGAGGAGGAGAAGAAGAGGAGAAGGAGGACAAGTAGAAGAGAACAGGAGAAGAGGAGAGAAGAGAAGGAGAAGAAGGAGACGAGGAGGAAAAGAGGAGGAGGAGTAGAAGAGGAGGATGAGTAGAAGAGGAGGAGAAAAGAGGATGAAGAGTAGTGGAGGATTTTAGCTGGTACCTGGTCGATGCCTCGTCCTTTACACTGGAGGATGATCACCTCTAACAGTTTGGCAGCGTGACACTCGGCGTCCTCCCCACACTCCGACGACAGAACCTGGAACAGAACCAGAACCAGAACCTCCAGTCAAACCACAGAACCAGAACCAGAACTAAACCCACACTCCGACGACAGAACCTGGAACAGAACCAGAACCTCCAGTCAAACCACAGAACCAGAACCAGAACTAAACCCACACTCCGACGACAGAACCTGAAACAGAACCAGAACCAGAACCTCCAGTCAAACCACAGAACCAGAACCAGAACTAAACCCACACTCCGACGACAGAACCTGGAACAGAACCAGAACCAGAACCACCAGTCAACACACAACAGAACCAGAACTAAACCCACACTCCGACAACAGAACCTGAAACAGAACCAGAACCACCAGTCAAACCACAGAACCAGAACCAGAACTAAACCCACACTCCGACGACAGAACCTGGAACAGAACCAGAACCAGAACCTCCAGTCAAACCACAGAACCAGAACCAGAACTAAACCCACACTCCGACGACAGAACCTGAAACAGAACCAGAACCTCCAGTCAAACCACAGAACCAGAACCAAAACTAAACCCACACTCCGACGACAGAACCTGAAACAGAACCAGAACCTCCAGTCAAACCACAGAACCAGAACCAGAACTAAACCCACACTCCGACGACAGAACCTGGAACAGAACCAGAACCAGAACCACCAGTCAAACCACAGAACCAGAACAAGAACTAAACCCACACTCCGACGACAGAACCTGGAACAGAACCAGAACCTCCAGTCAAACCACAGAACCAGAACCAAAACTAAACCCACACTCCGACGACAGAACCTGAAACAGAACCAGAACCTCCAGTCAAACCACAGAACCAGAACCAGAACTAAACCCACACTCCGACGACAGAACCTGGAACAGAACCAGAACCAGAACCACCAGTCAAACCACAGAACCAGAACAAGAACTAAACCCACACTCCGACGACAGAACCTGGAACAGAACCAGAACCACCAGTCAAACCACAGAACCAGAACCAGAACTAAACCCACACTCCGACAACAGAACCTACAACAGAACCAGAACCAGCAGTCAAACCACAACAGAACCAGAACCACAACTAAACCAGGACTAAAACCACGACTAAACCAGGTATAAACCAGGACTAAACCAGATCTAAAAGGTGGGCACGGTGGCTGAGTGTTTAGCACTCATGCCTCACAGCAAGAAGGTTCTGGGTTTGATCCCCAGGTCGCCCAGGTCTTTCTGTGTGGAGTTTGCATGTTTCTCCCCGTGTCTGGATGGGTTTCCTCCGGTTTCCCCCTTCAACCCAAAACATGCTCCAGGTCCAGAACAGTTGATAGTCAAGGTCAGTTTAATAAAATCAATCAATGAACCTGTCCAGGGACGACAGGTGGAAATTAGCTCTGATGCACCTGATGTACAGTGCATCTCTCCTGTCAAGGTTAATGCGAAAATTGTGCGCTGTCCCTGTCTCAAATAAATAAAAAATAAATAAAAACGGTGGTATATTTATTGTCTGAAATGTTCCTCAGTGGGGCTTTAAATCCAAGTTCTGTTGTAAAAGTGTTTTCAGTGAAACACGGTGCACGTGTTTGTATCTGTCTTGCACATGCTGTAGTCTGTGTGTGTGTGTCTGTGTGTGTGTGTGTCTGTGTGTGTGTGTGTGTGTGTCTGTGTGTGTGTGTGTGTGTGTGTGTGTGTGTGTGTGTCTGTGTGCATGTGTGTGTCTGTGAGTGTCTGTGTGTGTGTGTGTGTCTGTGTCTGTGTGTGTGTGTGTGTGTGTCTGTGTGTGTCTGTGTGTGTCTGTGTGTGTGTCTGTGTGTGTGTGTGTGTGCGTGTCTGTGCGTGTCTGTGTGTGTCTGTGTGTGTGTGTATGTGTATGTGTGTGTATGTGTGCGTGTGAGCGCCCCCTGTGGAGGGTCTGGTACCTTCTTGCACATGCTGTAGATGATCTCCAGGTGTTTGGGGTTGGACAGGAGCACGTCTGTGTCCACCGTCACGTAGTTGTGTAACAGAGGCATCATGTCTGTGAGAGAGAGAGGGAATCAAACCCACAACCTCCTCACCCAGACACACACACACACTAACCACTCTGCCACATGCACACAGGAGGGAATCAAACCCACAACCTCCTCACCCAGACACACACACACACTAACCACTCTGCCACACGCACACAGGAGGGAATCAAACCCACAACCTCCTCACCCAGACACACAAACACACTAACCACTCTGCCACACGCACACAGGAGGGAATCAAACCCACAACCTCCTCACCCAGACACACAACACACTAACCACTCTGCCACATGCACACAGGAGGGAATCAAACCCACAACCTCCTCACCCAGACACACACACACACTAACCACTCTGCCACACGCACACAGGAGGGAATCAAACCCACAACCTCCTCACCCAGAAACACACACACACTAACCACTCTGCCACACGCACACAGGAGGGAATCAAACCCACAACCTCCTCACCCAGAACACACACACACTAACCACTCTGCCACACGCACACAGGAGGGAATCAAACCCACAACCTCCTCACCCAGACACACACACTAACCACTCTGCCACACGCACACAGGAGGGAATCAAACCCACAACCTCACTGAGGAATCGAACTCAAGTATAGTAAAAGTATTAGTAGTGCAGAGTAAAAGTATCAGTAGTGCAGAGTAAAAGTATTAGTAGTGCAGAGTAAAAGTATTAGTAGTGCAGAGTAAAAGTATCAGTAGTGTAGAGTAAAAGTATCAGTAGTGTAGAGTAAAAGTATTAGTAGTGCAGAGTAAAAGTATCAGTAGTGTAGAGTAAAAGTATTAGTAGTGCAGAGTAAAAGTATTAGTGCAGAGTAAAAGTATCAGTAGTGTAGAGTAAAAGTATCAGTAGTGTAGAGTAAAAGTATTAGTAGTGTAGAGTAAAAGTATTAGTAGTGTAGAGTAAAAGTATTAGTAGTGTAGAGTAAAAGTATTAGTAGTGTAGAGTAAAAGTATCAGTAGTGCAGAGTAAAAGTATCAGTAGTGCAGAGTAAAAGTATCAGTAGTGTAGAGTAAAAGTATTAGTAGTGTAGAGTAAAAGTATTATTAGTGTAGAGTAAAAGTATTAGTAGTGCAGAGTAAAAGTATTAGTAGTGTAGAGTAAAAGTAGTAGTGTAGAGTAAAAGTATTAGTAGTGTAGAGTAAAAGTATTAGTAGTGTAGAGTAAAAGTATCAGTAGTGCAGAGTAAAAGTATCAGTAGTGCAGAGTAAAAGTATAGTAGTGCAGAGTAAAAGTATTAGTAGTGCAGAGTAAAAGTATCAGTAGTGCAGAGTAAAAGTATTAGAGTGCAGAGTAAAAGTATTATTAGTGCAGAGTAAAAGTATTAGTAATGTAGAGTAAAAGTACCGGTGAAGTAGTCGTAGCAGTCGTGCTGGAACACCTGGTACAAGACTCCGAGCAGGTGCCACATCTGGGGGGAGATGTTCTGACAGGTGAGACCGAACGCCAGGGACAAGATCTCCTCATAAAACTCTGCGGCAAAACAAACAAAAACACAAATAAAAACACAAGAGTTTACAGATAAAATATAAAAACACAAATAAAACACAAGAGTTTACAGATAAAATATAAAAACACAAAAAAACACAAATAAAACACAAGAGTTTACAGATAAAATATAAAAACACAAATAAAACACAAGAGTTTACAGATAAAATATAAAAGCTGTAAAACACTTTTGGGTTTTGCAGTTTAGAATGGAATATTTCTACTAAACTTTTTTAAATTTACGCCTCCCTGAACCGTGACCGTGCCTTAACGCGGTGGAGGGTTTCTATTGTCAATGGGGCCACTCGTAGCTGTGGTCGAAAGGTCTGTGGTGTCTGTCACAGCAGTAATTCCTGAACCCGGTGGTGGACACTGGAAGTAAGGGATGCCGTCACGCTGAAGGAGGAGTCCTATCGGGCCTTGCTGGCTCGTGGAACTCCTAAGGCAGCTGATGGTACCGGCGGGCCAAGTGTGCTGCAGCCTGTGCGGTCGCAGAGGCAAAAACTCAGAGCTGGGAGGAGTTCGGGGAGGCCATGGAGGAGGACTATCGGACGGCCTCAAAGAAATTCTAGCAAACCGTCCGGCGCCTCAGGAGCTGAAAGCAGTTCTTCACCAACACTGTTTACAGTGCGGGGGGAGAGCTGTTCACCTCAACTGCGGACATTGTCCAGCGGTGGAAGGAAAACTTTGAGGATCTCCTCAATCCCACCGTCACGTCTTCCGAGGAGGAGGCCGAGGCTGGGGACTCGGAGGTGGACTCATCCATCACCCTGGCTGAAGTCACTGAGGTGGTTAAAGCTCCTCGGTGGCTCCGGGTGCGGATGAGATCCGTCCTGAGGATCTTAAGTCTCTGAATGTTGTGGGTCTTGGCTGACACGTCTCTTCAACATCGCGTGGCGGTCGGGGACAGTACCTCTGGACTGTCAGACCGGGGTGTTCGTCCCTCTGTATAAGAAGGGGGACCGGAGGGTGTGTTCCAATTACAAGGGAATCACACTTCTCAGCCTTTCCGGTCTGTGCCAGGGACTGGAGAGGAGAATCCAGCCGATAGTCGAACCTCGGCTCCAGGTGGAGCAGTGTGGTTTTTGTCTTGACCGTGGAACACTGGACCAGCTCTACACTCTCCATCGGGTGCTCGAGGTTCATGGGAGTTTGCCCAAATGAGTTTCCTCCACAGGGCGTCTGGGCGTCTCCCTTGGAGACAGAGTGAGGAGCTCAGTCACACAGGAGGAGCTCGGAGTAGAGCCGCTGCTCCTCCACGTGGAGAGGAGCGTCTGAGGGGAGGACGTCTGTTCTGATGTCTCCTGGGCGTCTCCCTCAGGAGGTGTTCATGTCCACTGGGAGGAGGCCCCCCGAGACCCGTCCCCAGAGAAGAGGAAGAACATGGATGGATGGACATTTTTTATTTATTTAAAAAAGGTTAAAGACAATCCCAGTGTAGAAGATCAGAAGAGGATTTGGTCTGTGATGTAAAGACGTGAAACAGAGATGATATAAACTCTATAAATTATTCTTTAAATGTGATGTTCTGATGTTCTGATCGTGTGTTCTAAAGCGAGTCTGAGGCTCAAACACACCTGCCACAGTTGAAACATAAACATGATATTTATTTGACGTGTTTAGATTATTGTGAGTGTGTTTGGCGGTGGGAGGACGGTGAGACACACCTGCCATACCTATGACGGGCTTCTGCAGCACCAGACCGATCACCTGCAAACAGATCGCCTCCAACTGCTGCGTGATCTGTCAACAGACACAGGTGTGAACAGACACAGGTGTGAACACAGACACACAGGTGTGAACAGACACACAGGTGTGAACACAGACACACAGGTGTGAACAGACACACAGGTGAACAGACACAGGTGTGAACACAGACACAGGTGTGAACACTAACACAACACAGGTGTGAACACAGACACAGGTGTGAACACTACACACACAGGTGTGAACAGACACAGGTGTGAACAGACACAGGTGTGAACAGACACAGGTGTGAACAGACACAGGTGTGTGTATGTGTGTATGTGTGTGTGTGTGTGTGTGTGTGTGTGTGTGTGTGTGTGTGTGTGTGTGTGTGTGTGTGTGTGTGTGTGTGTGTGTGTGTGTGTGTGTGTGTGTGTGTGTGTGTGTGTGTGTGTGTGTGTGTGTGTGTATGTGTGTGTGTGTGTGTGTGTGTGTGTGTGTGTGTATGTGTGTGTGTGTGTGTGTGTGTGTGTGTGTGTGTGTGTGTGTGTGTGTGTGTGTGTGTGTGTGTGTGTGTGTGTGTATGTGTGTGTGTGTGTGTGTGTGTGTGTGTGTGTGTGTGTGTGTGTGTGTGTGTGTGTGTGTGTGTGTGTGTGTGTGTGTGTGTGTGTGTGTGTGTGTGTGTGTGTGTGTGTGTGTGTGTGTGTGTGTGTGTGTGCGTCACCTCGGCGTGATCTTCCATCACGGTCAGGATGGTGTCCATGGTGCTGAGTAAACCCAGAGCCATGACCGTCTTATCCTCACTCTCCTCGTACTCGTCACTCTGAAGAACACGAGTGAAGATCTCAGCCTGAAACAACGACAAGGAGAGAAGAAGAAGAGGAGAGACTCATGTTCATTTCTTGTAGAAAGCATTTTATAATATCTTTATTAAACAGAAAATATTGTTTTCGTAGTAGCAGTAGTAGTAGTAGCAGTAGTAGTAGCAGTAGTAGCAGTAGTAGCAGTAGTAGTAGTAGTAGTAGTAGCAGTAGTAGTAGTAGTAGCAGTAGTAGTAGCAGTAGTAGTAGTAGTAGCAGTAGTAGTAGTAGCAGTAGTAGCAGTAGTAGTAGTAGTAGTAGTAGTAGTAGCAGTAGTAGTAGTAGTAGTAGCAGTAGTAGTCAGTAGCAGTAGTAGCAGTAGCAGTAGCAGTAGTAGTAGCAGTAGTAGTAGCAGTAGTAGCAGTAGTAGTAGTAGTAGTAGTAGTAGTAGTAGTAGCAGTAGTAGCAGTAGTAGTAGTAGTAGTAGTAGCAGTAGTAGTAGCAGTAGTAGCAGTAGTAGCAGTAGTAGTAGTAGCAGTAGTAGCAGTAGCAGTAGCAGTAGCAGTAGTAGTAGCAGTAGTAGTAGCAGTAGTAGCAGTAGTAGTAGTAGTAGCAGTAGTAGTAGTAGCAGTAGTAGTAGTAGTAGTAGCAGTAGTAGTAGCAGTACAGTAGCAGGTTGCGCGTCATCTCCACGGCGATGGCGGCCACTTCCTGGTTGTATTCGCAGATGAGTTTCTGGATGACGTTGGTGAGGTCGTCGTTTTCCGTTTCCCTGACGACGTGGAGCAGCTCCTGCATCACCGGGCGAATGAACGGCCGGATGTACACTTTAGCTGAAACACGAAACACGAGACACGAGACACGAGGAGGACACGGTCAGAACACAGATAATACTCCCTACAACTGTACAACAACTCGCCCTTATGTAACAGATAATACTCCCTACAACTGTACAACAACTCGCCCTTATGTAACAGATAATACTCCCTACAACTGTACAACAACTCGCCCTTATGTAATAGATAATACTCCCTACAACTGTACTTATGTAACAGATAATACTCCCTACAACTGTACAACTCACTCTTATGTAACAGATAATACTCCCTACAACTTGCCCTTATGTAACAGATAATACTCCCTACAACTGTACAACAACTCACCCTTATGTAACAGATAATACTCCCTACAACTGTACAACTCACTCTTATGTAACAGATAATACTCCCTACAACTTGCCTTTAAGTAACAGATAATACTCCCTACAACTGTACCAACAAACTCGCCCTTATGTAACAGATAATACTCCCTACAACTTGCCCTTATGTAACAGATAATACTCCCTACAACTGTACAACAACTCACCTTTATGTAACAGATAATACTCCCTACAACTGTACAACTCACTCTTATGTGACAGATAATACTCCCTACAACTGTACAACAACTCACCCTTATGTAACAGATAATACTCCCTACAACTGTACAACAACTCGCCCTTTTGTAACCAATAATACTCCCTACAACTATACAACAACTCGCCCTTATGTAACAGATAATACTCCCTACAACTGTACTTATGTAACAGATAATACTCCCTACAACTTGCCCTTATGTAACAGATAATACTCCCTACAACTGTACAACAACTCACCTTTATGTAACAGATAATACTCCCTACAACTGTACAACAACTCGCCCTTATGTAATAGATAATACTCCCTACAACTGTACTTATGTAACAGATAATACTCCCTACAACTGTACAACTCACCCTTATGTAACAGATAATACTCCCTACAACTTGCCCTTATGTAACAGATAATACTCCCTACAACTGTACAACAACTCACCCTTATGTAACAGATAATACTCCCTACAACTTGCCCTTATGTAACAGATAATACTCCCTACAACTTGCCTTTATGTAACAGATAATACTCCCTACAACTGTACGACAACTCGCCCTTATGTAACAGATAATACTCCCTACAACTTGCCCTTATGTAACAGATAATACTCCCTACAACTGTACAACAACTTTATGTAACAGATAATACTCCCTACAACTGTACAACTCACTCTTATGTGACAGATAATACTCCCTACAACTGTACAACAACTCACCCTTATGTAACAGATAATACTCCCTACAACTGTACAACAACTCGCCCTTTTGTAACCAATAATACTCCCTACAACTATACAACAACTCGCCCTTATGTAACAGATAATACTCCCTACAACTGTACTTATGTAACAGATAATACTCCCTACAACTTGCCCTTATGTAACAGATAATACTCCCTACAACTGTACAACAACTCACCCTTATGTCACAGATAATACTCCCTACAACTGTACAACTCACTCTTATGTGACAGATAATACTCCCTACAACTGTACAACAACTCACCCTTATGTGACAGATAATACTCCCTACGAGCCCTGGTCCTGACCTTGCTGCTGGTTGGACACGAGCGTCTGGAGAGCGATGGCGGCCTCCACCTTCACGGGCATCTCCTTGTCCTCCACCAGGTCCTGCTTCACCAGCTCCACGGCGCCGCGCAGGACCTGCTCGTCGTGGAAGCGCAGAGGGCTGAAGCAGTGAAGCACCCAGCACGACTGAGGAACCAGGAACCAGGAACCAGGAACCAGGAACCAGGAACCAGGAACCAGGAACGAAGAACCAGGAACCAGGAACCAAGAACGAACCAGGAACCAGGAACCAGGAACGAAGAACAGGAACCAGAACCAGGAACCAGGAACCAGGAACCAGGAACCAGGAACCAGGAACCAGGAACCAGGAACGAAGAACCAGGAACCAGGACCGACAAAGAAACAGGAAACACGTGAGTCTACGTGAGCCTCCACTTTAAACCTCCTGTGTTACACTAAACAGACTCTTGTGAACTTTAAAAAGGCACAAACTCAGTGTTCAGACCAGAGCGTCAAAAAAGTCTCTTGTTTTCCTGGTTGAGAGAATTTCTTTAATGGGATTAAACCAGGACGAAACCAGGACTAAACCAGGATTAAACCAGATCTAAACCAGGACTAAACAAGGACTAAACCAGAACTAAACAAGGACTGAACCAGGACTAAACCAGGATTAAACCAAGTCTAAACCAAGTCTAAACCAGGACTAAACAAGGACTGAGCCAGGACTGAGCCAGGACTAATCCAGGACTAAACCAGGTCTAAACCAGGTCTAAACCAGGTCTAAACCAGGTCTAAACCAGGACTGAACCAGGACTGAACCAGGACTAAACCAGGACTAAACCAGGTCTGAACCAGGTCTAAACCAGGACTAAACAAGGACTGAGCCAGGACTGAGCCAGGACTAATCCAGGACTAAACCAGGTCTAAACCAGGTCTAAACCAGGTCTAAACCAGGACTAAACCAGGTCTAAACCAGGTCTAAACCAGGTCTAAACAAGGACTAAAACCAGGACTAAACCAGGACTAAACCAGGACTAAACCAGGACTAAACCAGGACTAAACCAGGACTAAACCAGGACTAAACAAGGACTAAACCAGGACTAAACAAGAACTAAACCAGGACTAAACCATTCACACTTGTTAATTCATTATTATTGATACTTTGCAGTTCACTGTGGCGCGTAAAAAATGTGTGTAAAAAAAATAAAAATAAAATAAAAAATTTAAAAAAGGACCTCTGTTTTTAATGTTGCTACTTTCTAACCATTTTAATGGAACTAACTGTGAACGATTAAAGTCTAAATCAAATCTCAAAATAAAATAAAAAACACTGTGGGACTGACCCGCGCTCGCAGGTATCCCAGAGGAGAGTTGAGGAGCGGGAACACGTATTTCTGTAACATCATCTCCATCTGCTCCCTGTACGCCCACTTCTGTAACACCACACAGAGTTACATTTAAAACACAAAAACTGAAAAGGACAGAGTCAAACTAATAAAAAGTGTCGGGGTGCAGAGCGGGGCTGCTCTGAAGGGGGCGCTGTACCTTCAGGAGGAGCTCGGCTAAAGTCCCCACGCAGTGCAGCGCTCCGTCCTTCCTGCGGGGGTCAGCAGAGGGGTCCATGAGCGTCTGGTGACAGAACTCCATCATCTGAGGAAGAACCTGCGCAAAAACAAATTATATTATTAGATTTTTTTTAAAGTGAAGTCATCAGAGCTCGTTTCTGCTGCGCAAAAAACACAAAGACAAGAATGAAAAGATGCAGGGAAGCTCATTTCTGCCAGTAAATAAAAAACAGAAGCCTTTTAAACTCCTAATTATGACATTTAAACTCCTAATTATGACTTTAAAACTCGTAATTATGACCTTTAAAACTCGTAATTATGACTTTTAAAACTCCTAATTATGACTTTAAAACTCCTAATTATGACTTTTAAAACTCCTAATTATGACTTTAAAAGTCATAATAATGACTTTTAAAACTCGTAATTATGACCTTTAAAACTCCTAATTATGACTTTTAAACTCGTAATTATGACATTTAAACTTGTAATTATGACATTTAAACTCCTAATTATGAATTATGACATTTAAAACTCCTAATTATGACAATTAAACTCCTAATTATAACTTTTAAACTCCTTATGACATTTAAACTCATAATTACCTCCGCCAAGGAGGTTATGTTTTTGCCGGCGTTTGTCTGTTTGTTTGTCTGTTTGTTTGTCTGTTTGTTTGTCTGTTTGTCTGTTTGTTGTCTGTTTGTTTGTCTGTTTGTTTGTCTGTTTGTCTGTTTGTTTGTCTGTTGTCTGTCTGTCTGTCTGTTTGTCTGTTTGTTTGTCTGTTTGTTTGTTTGTTTGTTTGTTTGTTTGTCTGTTAGCAACATAACTCAAAAAGTTATGGACCGATTTTGATGAAATTTTCAGGATTTTGTTGGAAATGTGAAAAGGAAGAACTGATTTCATTTTGGGGCTGATCCGGAAGAAATCCTGGATTCTGGATCACTTTGAAATTTTAGTTAACATTGTGGTAAATGGGGCCAAAAATTTAGTTTCTCAATATCTGGGTTAATTATTGACCAAACCCCATGAAATTTGACTCAGGGATGGACAATGGGATCCTCTTTCATATTCCAAAGGCTGATCCGGATCTGATCCAGAAGACTGATTTTATCGCAATTTATATAAAAAATGGGGGTCGTCCTTGGCGGAGGTCTGCGCTCTCTGACTGCTTTTCTAGTTATGAATTTAAAACTCATAATTTTGACTTTCTGTGAGGCTTTTATTTTTTATTTACTGGCGGAAACTTCCATAAGGATGAAATAAAACCTGCTGTAAAGATAAAGTATAGTTTTACACAAATCAAATTAAAAATAAATTAGGAAATTAGTTAAAAATAAAAAAGGAAGTGGAGACTGAGAGAATTCGGTCCAAAAGTCTCAAGAAACACAATTTTCTGATATTTTAAAGGTGTTTTCTTATATTTTAATTCAAAGTCAAAGTCAATAATAATAATCTGAGTTTTGTCCCGTGTTGACGTTCCGGTTGCTAGGTAACAGTGAAGGAGGTACTGTACCTCTTTGCGTTTGCGAGCGGCTTTACACAGGAGGCTCTGGGCGGCGGTGGCGGGGAGGGCGTGGTCATCGTACAGATCTGCAACAACAAACCGAGAACGAACCCGTCACACAGAGGACGAACCCGTCACACAGAGGACGAACCCGTCACACAGAGGACGAACCCGTCACACAGAGGACGAACCAGTCACACAGAGGACGAACCAGTCACACAGAGGACGAACCCGTCACACAGAGGACGAACCCGTCACACAGAGGACGAACCCGTCACACAGAGAACAAGGAGGAACAACAGCACTACTACAAGTACTGTAGTAAAAGTTCGGCTGGTCCATCAAAGTACGATAAAAAATAAAGTTTCAGATCACCTCGATTAGAACCTGCATTAGGTTTTAGCTCCAAAAGATAATTTAGGAATAAATTTGGAAGAAAAAGGAAATGTTTTAGAGGCTCAAGCTGCATGAAGTTTCCTGGACATTGGCTAATTTTGAAATTTTTTTGCAAACTTTTTATGGACTTTCTAAGCAACTTTTATACAAGTTTCAGTTTGTGTTTTTAGAATAAAATGATAAATGATTAGAATAGGCCTTATTGATCTGGTTCTGTGTTATAGTTTAGGCTGTAGGGACATTTTCAAATGTCTTGAGCTCCTCCAAACATCAACTCATTTGCATAAAATTTGAACCTGAATATTTTGGCCCAAAATGGAACC